CCTCAGTACTGACCCTCTGACAGTGCAGGCACTCCCTCAGTACTGACGCTCTGACAGTGCGGCACTCCCCCAGGACTGACCCTCTGACAGTGCGGCACTCCCCCAGTACTGACTCTCTGACATCACGACACTCTCTCCGTAGCGACCTTTTGACAGCGCAGCACTGCCTCAGTCCTGATCGTGTAACAGTGCAGCATTCCCTTGGTATTGACCCTGGAGGACTGCTGTACTCCTCCAGTACTGAACCTCTGACAGTGCGGCACTCCCTCAGTACTGACCCTCTGACAGTGCGGCACTCCCTCAGTACTGACCCTCTGACAGTACAGCACTCCCTCAGTACTGACCGACTCACAGTGCAGCACTTCTACAGTATTGACCCTCTGGTAGTGCAGCATCTGTCAGTACTTACCCTGTAACAATTTGGCATTCCCTTGGTTTTTACCCTTGAACAATGCAGCACTACCTCAGTACTGACTCCCTGACAGTGCGGCACTCCCTCAGTACTGACCCTCTGATTGTATGGCACTGCTGCAGTACTGACCCTCTGACAGTGTAGTGCTCCCTGGTACTGACACTCTGACAGTACTTACCCTGACAGTGCGGCACTTCCTCAGTACTGACCCTCTAAATCTGTAGCGGTCCCACAGTACTGACCTGCTGTCAGTGCAGAGCTTCCTCAGTACTGATCTTTTGACACTGCTGCACTCCTTCAGCACTAACCCTCTCAGAGTGCAGAACTCCCTCCTTAATGACTCTCTGACAGTACAGCGCTCCCTGAGTACTTCTGATAGTGTGGCACTCGTACAGTACTGACCCTCTCACATTGCAGCATCTCTCAGTACTGACCCTCTGACAGTGCGGCACTCCCTCAGTACTGACCGTCCGACAGTGTGGCACTCCCTTAGTACTGACCCTCTGATAGTGTGGCACTCCCTCAGTATTGACCCTCTGACAGTGTGGCATTCCCTCAGTACTGAACCTGTAACAGTGCAGCATTCCCTTGGTATTGACCTTGGAGCACCCACTGTACTCCCTCAGTACTGACCCTCTAACAGCGTGGCAATCTGTCAGTACTGACCCTCTGACCATGCAGCACTCCCTCAGTACTGATCCTGTAAGAGGGTGGCATTCCCTTTGTATGGACCCCAGAATAATGCAGCACTGCCTCAGTATTGACGCTCCGACAGTGCAGTGCTCCAACAGTACTGATCCTCTGAGAGTGCGATACTCCCTCAAAACTGACTGACAGAGATCATGGCACTCACACAGTATTGACCCTCTGATCGTGCGGATTTTTGAGTGCTGACCCTATGACAGAGCAGCACCTCATCAGTACTTTCTATGTGTCTCTGCAGTGCTCCCACAGCACAGGGCATCTGACAGTGCAGCACTCCCTCGGTAAAGACTTTCTAACAGTGCAGCACTCCCTCAGTACTGACCCTCTGACAGTGCAGCACTCCCTCAGTCCTGACCCTCTGACAGTGCAGGCACTCCCTCAGTACTGACCCTCTGAC